ATGACGGAGGCAGTATGACCTCTGAAACGTTGGTAAACATAGACCAGACTACACAGCGCAACAACCCAGAAGACAGAAATCTTCATATTTTCACTTCATTTGGCACAATATAACTTCTGAAGTTGAAATACTGTCTTAACCTTTACTGTCCATGCAATGAAACTTATGCATGATCCAGTTATTCACATTGCTAAACCATTGTTCAATGGAATATTTCTGCATGTAGCAACTTACAGATATCTGCATTAGTGTAACAGAAGGAGCAAATGTGCTGACAGATGTATGCCTGAAGGCTGCAGATGAGGCTCCAGAAGACAACTTACAAGAGCAATTCCGTCTGTGTCTTAAGAGTGTTGCAGCAGCTGTCAATACATTCTGTGGCAGTATTAAATTTCTCAAAGACAGACCAACAGAAACCAACTACAGAGCTTGCCAGGTATTACACTAAACTCATAACCAATATGTTGTCCAAAAGCTATTTAACTAAGTTAACAAATTTCTAGGACAATAAATTTCACACAAGTTGAATCAGTCATGATGAGTGGCATGTTAAGTAGTGGAACCTCGATATACTGCACCTTGTTATACCGCAGCTGTAATTATGTCCCCCAATGCAATTACACATTTTACATATTTCAGATATAACGTGGGTACTAAAGCTGTCCCCCAAAACCCTCACTTTATCAAGGTTCTGCTGCATTCTTAATATGAGTTAACCCATGGAAAACAGTAGAATTCCTATGAGATAGTACAAAAGAAAAATATGTATAATTAGCACTGGGATACCATGGACCAGATGGAGAGACCAAGTGAGTGAAGAAGCAAAAACCTCTAGAACATCAGTAAACTTCAATCACACTACAGGGCACATCCCTTGAAGACAGTTATCTTCCTACTCAACACCATGAGAACCTGAAATTTCACATGGCAAACACACTTCTAGAATTGTGCTCCAGGCATTGGCCCTTCATGGGCTATAGAACTGAGGAGTTGGTCAGTCAAACACACCTCTACCAACAGTCTACAAATACCATACCAAGCTTCCGAAGTTTCTCTCCTTGCTTTTTCGCCATTATTTCATATCTTCTGTATACATTCTTTAAAAAACCACTTATCAAATGTTGTATTCTGACTCAGGTATTCGGTGAAGCCCTGACAACTGCATGTAACGCACTGGCTGTGTTTGCAACGCAAGATTCCTCACTAACAGGAACAGGAGCTAAACTGAGTCAGACAGGACGTGATACTCTGCATGCAGTACTGAGTGCATGTATGGGAGTCGTGTCTCCTTGTGTACTTGTATGTGCTGTTGTCCATGATCTTGCAACAGTCATTTCATCAGGAAGTTATAAGGGAGATGGGAAGGAAGAGAAGGCTGTGATGAGAGTGCAGCAGTGTCAAGCAGCTGTTGTTCGCAGCGCCAGCAAACTGGGACAAGCCCTAGGGAATGGTACTGACCAGAGATAAAGAAATCATTAAACAACTGAATGGTTGAACTATATGGACTTACAATGCAACAAGAAGAGGGATAATATATGGTGAAGATCAATTAATTCAGGAATATGGTCTCAAAGAAAAAGTGTAAAAATATATATTACTCAAGAATCCATAGCATATCAATTTCTGAAACAGTTGTTCTCTTTCCAGAAGGTTGTGTTAATATGCCAATACTGTTCACGGATACCAAATAATTATATATTATTCCATTTCCTTCAAATAAAATAAATAAATCTACAAAACATATTATATTATAGATTTTTGCTCTTGCCAATACAAGAAATATTTGTCAAGATACTGTCAATACTGGTTTCTAGACACATTTGATCACCATTTAACCAATTAATACCATTTCATATAATTGATAAAAGAAATAAGTGAATTAATAAGTTAAAGCAATAAATGCGTGTATGTTCATACCTGTTAATGACAGTAATTTTTGTTTTGTTAAAGTTTTCAAATATCTGATTATTTTGTCATAAGCAAATGGAAGTTCGGGTAAAACACAATTATTGGTTCTGTACAAATAAATATAATATAATTATTAATATCACACGCAACAGCAGTGAAATGTTACAGAATTTATATAAATATTCTTTGTGACTGCATACTTCATAGCTCATATGCATACACTGTAGATGATAGAGCTATTAAGAGGAAAGAGTATATTGCACAGAGACAAAAATTCTAGATTTGAAAAAGTCCATTAATATTAAAATAACACTCTGCACACATATCATAATATAACTACTCATACAATTTATACACAATTTTAAAATATTTAAATGTCAGATCTGGAAACAACAAACAAGATGTAGTTTATATAACAAAATTTAAATAATAGGCATATAAACTACACATTATTATAAAGTTTACTTTCCCACACAATAAGATATATAAAACAATAATTGCTACAAACTCCTTTGTATAGTTATGATACATGATCACTTACAAGGACATAACAGAATTTTAACACAAAAACTCTACAGTTAATCAGCCACTTGGAAGACTAAGAACATGAAGTTGCAGATTAGAGAATTAAGTTATGAAGACAAAACATGGAAGGAAATTATTTAAGACTGAATCCATTGACTTTCCTTGATATTACACTAGAATATAATGACCCCTGGCCCCTGATGCCAGCTCAGACATGAGAATACAGCACCTTGTTTGCATTCTAAACTTCAAAGTATGCAGTCACAAGCTTGAAGCAGTCAGAGTAAGAATCTGTACCTCTAGGCTCGGTGCCTGGTAGGCCAATGCTACTGCAAGGTGGAGAGCACTGAATGCTAATTTCAGGGTTTGTCAAATCATCACATAACCATTGTATTTTTCATTTCTACTTTAAAAGAAAACACCATGTCTAGAAATGTTTTATATAGAAGTTACAGACCTGACTAAGACCTAATTTTGACATAATTTTAAACATGTTATAAATCATATGAGTTTCAAGTAAATTGGAAGTCATAGAATTTTAATTATACATTTTAGATGGTTAACTGATCATAAATGGTTCTGATGCCAGTTACATCCTTCATATGCCTTGCTGTCCTCATCAAATATAAGTAATGTGCTCAGTTACTTTACATTAATATGCTCTCATTAAGCCTTGACTCTTCCAGAAATGTATCTGATTCAACAACAGTTGCTTCGGGGATTAGAAACTTGATTTTACTGTTTTACGTTCAGGACATCTATTCACATAAGTGTTTATATCAAATTTAATATTCAACAAAATATTATATAAATTGAAATGACTGCATTTTGTAATTTATTCTCCCTAATCCTTTTACAAAATAAATATATAATCATTCAAATTTCCCAAACCCACACATCCAAAGTGGCATCCATATTCTTTCTATGGCTGGCTGGCTGGCTGCATTAGTTCAAACACAATTCCTTTTTAGAGGACACTACATTTATATATCAAAATGTGTTGTGTCAACATCATCACAGCTGCTACATAAAGCAGCAGCACTTACTTCGCTTTCCTTAGACATAAGTAAACTTGGCAATAAAACACAACTATATCTCTCAATAGAATTCATAACAGATAAATTAATAAATACATTATGCTACATAACTAATGGATGAATGGATGAATGAGATGCATGGACAGAAAAAACATAAAACAATCCTTTCATTTCAATTCAGAGCATGATTATGACTACTAGATTATGAGTGACTGAAGTATGACTGATATACCATTCCTAACGAGGAAGTGGCAAACCATGCAAAACAACACCACCATGTTGCAAAGCCAAAGAGGCCTCTGAATACATCAGTTGTGAACACCTGTAACAAACAGGACTCAGTCAATAACTGTACACTTGTGAATACATCTGCAAGTCATCTGCTTCCATTTTTCCTTACAAAATAACCCACAACACAATGAGATGTTGATAAAGAACCATGTTTATTCATATTCCTTTAAAAATCTTCACATAAAATAACAGGTAAGCACATTTCAGATATAATAAGAAACAGGTAAGAGAGTGGTGGTGATGGTATTAGTAATAGTTTTACCAACATACCATCTCCATCTTCAGGGTTGAAGTGCTGAAAATAGAGACAGTATGTTTCTTTGACACATTGGTATCCGTCTACATGTGCCATGACCCAGAAGACCATCATCAGCATCTTTGTCGTGAGAACCTCAAATCTCAAAAATATTCTTTTTTTACAAACAATGCACAAATCTGTATTAAACATATTCTGCTAGAATCTATCAAAGCTCAGAATGAGGAGGGAGATTCAATATTTCATAGTAGATGGAAAAGAAAATAACATTGTTATTAGTACTTATACCAGTCAGGCTACTCTATACACAATTACATAACTTTCTGCTGAATTTCAATGATTATTTCACTATGTAAGATTTGAGGTTTTCACAGCAGTGAGTATGAAGATTTCTGTCTTCTGGGTTGTTGCGCTGTGTAGTCTGGTCGATGTTTACCAACGTTTCAGAGGTCATACTGCCTCCATCATCAGGGCGATGAAGGTTTCTGTCTTCTGGGTTGTTGCGCTGTGTAGTCTGGTCGATGTTTACCAACGTTTCAGAGGTCATACTGCCTCCATCATCAGGGCGATGAAGGTTTCTGTCTTCTGGGTTGTTGCGCTGTGTAGTCTGGTCGATGTTTACCAACGTTTCAGAGGTCATATATTTCACTAGTCTGTATTTATTAATTGCTTACCTGAGTGCATTGTATCACAGCCAGCATAAAATTTTAGCATGGCAATAGGAACACAGACCTCTTAACCATAAAACACCAATTTCAACGAATGAAGAATCTACTATTCCAACTAACTTCAACAGAAACATACAACTATAATAATAATTGGTCACAAACCTGTTTAAGTGAGTCAAGTGCAAGAGTAAACTGCTTGGCAGACTGCTGTATCGACTGTTCGCCGGAAAGACTCGGTAACGGCATGAACTGGGATGGTGACTCGAAGCATTCCTCTGCTACTGGACTAACAAATAAGCCAGACCAACTGTAGTTACCTAGAAAAATGAGTCTTGATCAAAATATTTGTTAAAAGTTGAGATTAACTGGAAATGGCTGATTGAAAAATTATCAACCTTGATGGAATAATGTTGGATATAATTGTATTTGTAGTTGATAATAACAATAAGAAATGCATACATAATATTGAATAATGAAAGTTGAGGGGAGAAAACCACCTATGAGACCCCAGGTAAAGAAAAGCAGTTAACATTAAGATGAATAATTTATAAAAAAAAGACATGAGGATGTAAATTAATTTATCTGGCACAGGATATGTCTAGTGCCAAGCTGTTGTGGACATGATAATTATCCAAAAGGTTCCATAAAAGGCAAGTAATTTCTATGATGAGATGAGAGACTGACAGCTTCTCAATGACACTACTCCAAATAATTACTTACTTAACCTCAAAACAAGTGAAATAACAAACCATTTGGTTTTCTTGTGTAAATATGGCAAAGTTCTGAAGGAAATACTGGTAAACAGCTCACAATTCCTAATTATCTAAATGACACAATATATTTGTTAAAAGAATATGAAAACAAAAGTCTTGAGTCTAGTTAATAGGAACAGGAAGAACTGATACTCACCCAGAGTTTTATACATAAATGTCAAATAAAGGCACAGAATGAGTGGAGCCACAAACTGTAGTGTTACCACACACAAGTAGTAGAAAACAGCTGCAATCTGTTAGAGAGAGAAAATATTAATATACTGCCACTTTATAATTGTAATGAATTTTAAGATGTAATTTAGGACACTTCAAAATAATATAGTTCTCACTGAATATTTACAACTGATGCAGCCAACAAATCACCACTTTTCTAGTATTATTTAGATTTGAAAATACAGCAAATAATATCAACAAAACCATGTGAATGAATTTGTGTGTTAGATTGCTTGGGAATATTGAAACTGCCTTGCATATCTGACTACTTTGTTTGCATACATATGAGAAATCAGAGCACCTATACTTATACCAAAACTGAACCACTTCTTTAATCACATTACTCCTGTCCTGCTTTAAAAAAGTGGATATATTCTGAGAGAAGACAATGTAAAGTGAATTAATCATTGTTCCAAGAATGTAAACCTTGTTTCCTAGTGTAAGAGGAAGGATGTGTCCCACACCCCTTGCTTCACACATCACACTTTGAAATAATTATTGTGAAGTTAATTTTATTGATGAATATACATCAAATATCATTCTTTTATCACAGTGCTTTACTTGCTCATTATGGAAACATAAAATCAATATAACAGTACCCCACTTTTAGGTCAGCAACAGTAATATATGTTTTCAAAGTCAGTGCAGTTCTAGATATTTTTCATAGCAGTCTCATTAAAGAAAACAACTTTCTTACAAGTGATAAATTACCGTGAAAACCATGTGTTATTTTGGTACAAAAAGTAAACAGAGAAGTATGCGTGCCTTCTGGAATCCCTCATCTTCATTCTAGAAGCAGGACTCCAAAGATGACTCTCTCCTATGCATCAAGTAGTCCAGCAAAACTTCACCATTGTTTCAGAGGAGCTTACTGCCCCCATCACCATTACCCTCACTAAACATAGCTATATCCCAGAAGACAGTTATCTTCACAAAGGCTGTATGCTCTTCTGAAATGCTAGTATCTACCTACAAGACCACGTTGCATCACAACCAAAATACCAACACTGGCATCTTTGCCGCTGTAAGAACTTCAAACAAATGTGTCACAAGAATTTTTCCAAAAGGAAATTTACAACAATATGAAAACAACAAACCTTCTTTTGAAGCTCTATGTTAGTTATCCTGCCTGCCTCTTTTTTCTGTTCCTGAATCCGATGGTATGCCATATTAAGATATGCCTGTAGATATGTTGGCATAAGTGCAAGCCGTAGCAGGACTGCAGCAACAATCATGATGAGCCGCATGGTCTCAAATGCATGCTCAGTCAACAGGGGAGTCGCCATACCATGGAAGATCCTGTTGGTCAAGTAGTCTCTGCTCACCGGCTTCACCCACAGAAGCACCAATATAAATGGTGATGCAAAGCTAGTGTTCAGTAGATACCTCTGTAGCCTGTTTTCACTGCAATACCTGCACAGCAACACAAAGCAAGAAATTTCACAGTAATGCATATCAGATGCTTTCATGACAGGCATGAAGTCCTGCCATCTGCAGCTGTTACTAGTTTTCTTGCTAATTATGCTATGAGGACTTGCATCTTCATACAATACTCCATGTCACAGGTTATAAATTCTCCTCCTCAAGACATTTCCAGTTTGAGTGCACCATCTGACAACACCTCTCCATCTAACTTTACCTCCCCAAAACTCATTCTCCTCAAATTCTTCTGATGGTCTACCTTCCCTCTGTAACATCTTCCTAACTTGTTGCTCCCATCCAGCACTAATTAGACAGGAAGCTGAGTGGGCCCGAGCCAGCCTAGACGCAGAGACACGAAGAAAAATCCTCTGCCCCTGTTCAGGATCAAACCCCAGTAGTCCAGTCCACAGTCAGTCACTATACTGACTGATCTACCCTGGCTATACACAAATTATAAAACTTTCCAAAATTGGTAAAAAAAAAAAAACAATTAAAAAAATTCCGAAAAATTCCAAAATTTCTGGAGCCAGTCATAATACCAGTCTTCTCCTTGTACACTGGACACAGTTGCAAGGAAGTTAATGTACGAGTTATCAAATCTGATTTTCAAGTAGAATTATTAGACACTATTGGTAAAACATACGATATAAAGAACTTACATATTTAAATGTGAACTAGGACCAGTCATATGTTCAAATTAATATATGTCTAATTTACCCTCTTTAAAACTATTTAATGGGGTACAATTACTTGTCTCTGACATTTGTGGCATTAAGCACTAATACATGAATTCTGTATAATTTCCAGTACCTGAGTGAATCCCAGTGCATTTTTGCCATACGCAGACCAGGAAAAGTGAACAGTGCTCCCAAAAGGGCACACCACAGGGCCAAGAAGAACTTCAATACTATTTTTGATGCAGGACCCCTGGAATTAGTACAAAAACTTCTACTATATGATACACAAACTGCACAGTTTTCAGTAAAACACTTGATCATACCAATCAGTAACACAACCTAACACAGATGTTATAATGACATCATAAGGTAGGTAGCATGCATCAAATTCTTAGTGTATTACTGAAATCCTCTTGATTTTGTGCTAAAGGCCATGAATTTCAGACAAGTATGTAGTTACAGGATAAAGCAATGTTTCTATTTTATACTTTCAATGTAATAAGCAATAACCTATAATTTCATAGGACTTCAAACTTCAATTTTATTGCCACCAAAGAACTTTTTTAATCTTGCACAATTTCTGTTGAGTTAGTAGGGATAACTTAGCGATCCAATACAGCAATAACAAATTTTATAATTTCAATTATTCCCAAAAGATCTGGCCAACCCTCTGATTTTTCTAGACCAAGCACAAAGCTGTGTCCCGCACTGTAGCCGCGCAGTCTGAGGCATCATGCTTCAGAATGGAATGCGCGCTGGTTCGAGTCTCGGGGGAGAAGAAATTTTCTCATGAGCTTTCGACCAGTGCATGGGACCAGTGCCAACCCAGCATCGTGAGGAAATTAGGGAGCTACAATGAGTAGCGTAATCCGGTCAGGAAAGCTAGTAGTGGCTGGGGGTTCGTTGTGCTGACCACACGTCACCCTATATCTGGTTGGATGATCGTTCACCTTTGCTTAGGCATGTGAACGTGAGGCCAGCAGTCAAGCTAGTCGGCTTTGGCTCTCTGGAGCTGTTACGCCACAGATTTAATTTTTTTTTAAGCACAAAGCTGTAGCAATGCCATATGGCACTTCAGAATTTGGCAGTTTGGTAGATGAAGTTATGAATTACTTTTTCCAGCACAGATTGTCCTACTGTAATATCCATATATGGTGTTAGGGATCTGAGATGGAAGGTATGTAAAAGTTTCTATTTTACTGTGAAATCTGAATGAGTACTTCAAAGCAAGAACTTTGAAGTGTAGTATAATAACATGCAACTATATTCTACTGCCAGTTTTCGTGTAGACAAATTATAGTAAAAACTACAGTGGTAATGATTCATAATGGTAAGCCACATGAAGAATCAGGTTCAGGCCCACCTATACACAAATGAACTGAAAATTTAGACAGCAAAGGGAATAAAGAGGAACAAGACATGAAATGTCACAATTTTTATTCACATGAACAATACCATAATCTAATACATATGAGGAAACAATACTTACGATGAATCGAGGCCCTGCATCTCCAAAAATGCAGCTGCACTCTCATTGAAGCTTGTGTAAGCTGTATTCAGCCCCAACTCTAGAGAATTTTCATCAACTATAAGGATCACCATGACAATTAACAAGTAAGCAAATGCTGTTATGATAACAGTTGACCGTTCACCCACTGACTCCTGACTCTGGAAGTATTGATATGTCAGTGAGAGAAGCAGTTTACTGGAGAAACAGGTTAAGGTATATATAAGACTGTATATACAGAACGTCGCAGAAAGATGTATACACACATTCAATAAATGAAATAAAGACATTTTAACAAAGCATTGGCACTTAATAAATTAGCAAATCTAGCGTAGGTGTTCATAATGGCCGCCGCCCATGTCTTCTCTAAACATAACACAAGGAGATCAATAACAATTTTAGTATTCTATGTTACAATATGTATATATATTTTTGGGACACTCTGAATGTATTTCACTTGACATCTTGTTTTCAAAACTATGAGGCAAAGTGCTATACAGTTTGTTTTTAAAACCTGATTCAAACTTAAAATCAATAACACATTTGAAAGGATTAAAATATACAGAAAAAGATGGACACACCATGTAGAGCCTCTGTGAAAAGGCAGGTAACTCAGAGTACATGGGGAAAAGTAGAACGATGACCAACCAGGTGTTGGAAAGAGGCTGATATGCGTAATCCATTATCTATGCTGTAAAGACAGGAAGATGGAATAAGACAGTGTTGCACTGAAACTTTATAAACTCTAAAACTTGAAAATATTACTATTTAACATAAATCAATATAATAATTTACAGTGTCATGTTTTCCCACATACCCATCATTAATCACTCCTTTCCATATAATTCTATTTCTACAAATTTTTCCAACAATGAAGAACAAATTAAATAAATCATAGCCTCATATATTTCTACACTTGAGTGTATTGCCTAATTCCTGTGCACAAACCATAAATACAAAATGAGAAGCACTTTAACACTTATGGGAGGATGTACACTTGAACACATATAACAATCTAAACCTCATAGTGAATTGCGATTTTTATCTTAATATTACAATATTTCTGGAAAGCAGCAAATAACAGAGAGTAGCATAAGGGTTAGAACACAAACAAAACGTTTATGGAAGGATACAATGAAAATCCAACAACTAAAGAACACCATAACATACTGAGATTCACTTCATCTTTAGGAGGTGCTAATGCATGATACACCTACAACAAACAAAAGAATTCAACTTAGATGACAGATTTTCTGCTGCCATAAACATTGAAAACCCTATAATGATTTCACAGTGTAAAAAAGAATCTCTAGTCTAGAATACTGTAAAATTATTATTAGAAATGTGAAAGAAGAATTGTCATTCTGCATATTCATACAGCAAATAATTAATCAATTAGAAGCTGACACTAATCCTTTACAGCTAGATTTATGGACACCACTGACAGCCCCACGTAAGAATTTCACAATACGATTACCACCCAGATGCAAATTTTAACATACATTATGTATTTATTTAGTTTAATATGATACTGGACTCTAGTAAACATAGCACCTCACACAATTTTTTAGTATGTCACATTTTTTAAATAGCACACCCCACAGCACCACACTCTGATTCTTTTTGAGAAAAAATAAGTATTATCTGCTGATAGATGCAATTTAAAATGCAGTAAAAATATGGTGAATCTTCTGCTGTAAACTAATTGTATGGAGTAGATTCCTTGAAAAGCTAATAGTAACTTCAATTGCTCAAAAAAATCCCTGCCATTTTTATAGAAACCACAAGGTCATTACTTTGTTTATAACAGCCCATACTGAACTTCATCCTAAGCCAGTTAAATCCACTCCACAACCTCCCATCCCATTTTCTTAAGACCCATCTTGGTGTCATTCTTCCACCTTCATGACCACCTCTCATCCTCCATTTTATAACACTAATGATATCTGGTAAAGAATACAATGAATAAGCTTCCTTATTATGCAGTATTTTCTATTCTCTTACTATGCCCTTGGTCCTAGGTATATACATATTCTCATCTCTGATTAGTGCCGTAAGACAGGCACACCAGACTTGGAAACAGATTATCTGACAGAATGCAGTACAAAGGAACAACACAATGGATGGATTTAAGTGAAGATTCCCAATGTGTGCTTTCTGCAACATCTGTACACAATGAAGGAAGCATAACATCATGAGAAGATTTCAAAGGTCAGGTGAAAATGTTATTCATAATTTGACTTTCTAAACATATAACTATCTCAAAGAACATTCATTACTAACCTCTGTTAAAATATATACAACAGATGAATACACTGCAAAGTCTAACAGCCACTGGTACTCAGAATAAAACTTCAGATGAACAACATCTAATGCAGTCACTTTGGAAGTCTCCAACTAGACAAACAGCAAAAAATGTCTTTCATTAGCGATGCCATCTCCAAATATCCTGCTTATTAACATGCAAATTATGTGAATAAATATCCTTTACCATCATCCAGTGAGGCCCTGACCACGGTGCTTAAAAAGCCCAACTCTAAGGGCAATATCCTAAATAAAGAGCTAAAACAACAAGCTTTCTGGAAATTGAAGAGGTCAATACTCTTTACAGATCAACAGACTCTGTGAGACCAGAGATCTAAAGGGAGGCCTTGATTATGGCCACCAAAAAGAAACCCCAAAACTTTTCACAATTTCACCATTTGGGGAAGCATTTCCTAAACCAGGTGATTATCGCATCTCGCTAAGTAGGAAGATACTATGCTCTGTTGTAGGCAGAGGGCTACTGGCAGATTAGAATGGGGAAGCACAAAACACTAGATAATGGTCATAGTGTAACAGTCACCTTGTCCACCCCATTTATTCACATTACATTCATCACATTAACAACATAATACATTTAAAGTCCATAAAATTATAAAAAACCTTAATGTCCAAATTCCGTGGAATGTGGAAAGTTTCAGCTGTCTTTCCATTTTCATTGTTCCTTCCACTTTTCTTTCCCTTTGATTTATCTTTAGGGACACCAGCTAGAGCTCGGAGCTCTTCATCTGTTGGATACAGATACCGCACCAACCTACAAGATAATAACATGTCAATTTTAATATAACCCACGAAGCAGACAAAAATGAAGAAAACCCTCAGAAAATAACATGTTCCAACAGGCCCATGTCACAAAACTATCAGAAATGTATCTAAGTTACTAACTAAACCAAACATCTAATGAAGCAACTAATTCCATGCAATAGAATCCTCCTTGAGATACTGACAATAAACTTAGCTAGTCAATAAATTCTTGAAGGTTCATTACCGTGTTCACAGGAGCCTGCAAGACCAAGCCCCATGAAACATTCTGTAACATGCTGGTTTCTTATGGCAAGAAGTTGCTAGTCTGCCCACCTAACTCCTACACTAAAGGACCTTTGACTGCTTACACAATACATTCACACTTACACATCACACACCACAAAGCACGCTTAGTTTGCATGTGTAAAGATGACATTCATTATACTACACATTTTAAAATCCATATACTTTATTATCTAATTTCATTAGTAGCACATTATTTTAACATTTAATTGAAAATGGAAGACTAGAAAAATTGTAGAAGCATCACTTTTCAGTGCGTTATGAAGCATGAAAGTACAGTATACTACAATAATAAGAATATTTAAAATTAAAACTAAAACAAATGCTTACCCAGTGGAACAAAGGATCCATCTTGCTAAAGAATAATGTGGCCCCAACTTCTGTATGATACTTACCATTACTAAGGTAATGACAAGCTGGGTCCCAAGTAATGCCTGAAACATTAACTCTTCATAAACTTTCTGCCAACTGTAAAATGATTCACTCAATGAAATAAAATATGAATCTTAATTATAAAATGTTATAAAAAATAAAATAATGTATAAAAATTAATTAGTTGGAATATTAGGCAAATCTCTCGATCCAAACCCATGATACAAGTATCATTATTACACATTCAAAATTGGATTATCTTTAAAATATCATGAATGTCTTTGCCAACCTAAACAAATGGTTTAAAGCTAACAAACTGACACTAAATTTATATAAATAAACTACATAAAAATTTCTACTAAGAACAAGACACGTCCCAGTTTAAATACAGGAATATAATAAAATAGAATAGAACAGAATAGAATAGAATTTATTTACATTCAATAGATCCTTCATATGCCTAAGCCAAGGATGTAGAACAGGTCATAGCACAAATACAATACTTGTTTCTAGTACAAATACATAGTTATATAAAAACCATCACCATTATTACTTACATGTATTTATAATAGTTGGGACTTTCTGGGTGATGTAAATTCTTCTACTGAGTAGAAGGAGTGAGATAGGAGATACTCTTTTAAAGCTGGATTAAACAATTTTATATTGTGATTTAAACTTTTGATAGTAGGTGGAAGATTATTGAATAACTTCATTCCAGTACAGTAAACTCCTTTTTCATATTTCTTGAGGTTAGAATTTGACACATGAAGGTTGTATATGTATCTTGTTCTTATATTGTGGATATGTGAATTTGTTTGAAATGTTTCCATGTTATCCATTACAAATGATAATAGTGAGAGCAAGAATTGGGTAGTGGAAGAACATTAAACTTCTTAAATAATTCCCTACAAGAGGCTCTCCTTTTAGTGCTTACCATTATTCTAATGATTCTCTTCTGAATGTAAAATACTTTTTCCTGTCCATTGAATTTCCCCAAAAATCCTTTGAAATCTTGTGCCACCTAAAAAGACTGCATTTTCTCCAAAAATGTTGCTGAATAATTAAACCAAAATGAATAACAACTCCCCAACATTCCCAAAATTGACAGAACTTGCTTAGACAGGAGAACTCTCCCAAATCACTTTAATTATTTTAGGAGTGGCAAAAAGTAGTCCAGATCACATGTCAAATTAAAAACAAAAATAACAAATACATAAATAACTGTAAAGTAGCAAAACTTCTTCCAGTGCAATGTCTTACTATATCCAATTACCCTCTTTCAACTATACAGGTTGCATATCAAAATGTCTCAGGTTGATAGAAAAGAATGTCAAGGTGGTTGTGGCCTATTTTAAAGTACTGTCCTGGAATGTGGAACAAGTATTTTTGATTTTATATAACATATAAATTGCTTATAGGAGCTCAGTCAATTTTGTGACTGACTATAGACTGATGACCGTGTTCGATCTCCGACAGGGTCAGACGATTTTTCCGCTAGCCTCTGCATCCACACTCCTGTCCACTGAGCACTGCGGTCCTTTCCCAGTGGTAAACCGCAGCCAGAGCATGATGCTGACTACTCACATCTATCTAGCGTCCCCAAGCGCATACATGGTGTGTAGCAGGACAGCTTTAATTTTTACATAATTTGCTTATACTCATGATCCACTAAGGTGTAATTGTCCAGGAGTCAGTGGTACCAGAAACACAGCATTAACATGCTGTACCAGAGTATATTATAAAATCAGCAGGTGTTCCATAGCCATGCACTTATAAAGATGAATTTACACATCAGTTTAGTGTAAAGATTAATGATTTGAAGACTGTATTTCTGTAGTTTATGCCACAAGAATGTCTGAATTTCCCAATATTGACTGCCTACTGCTATATCTCACCTACCCTTATCTGTATCACTTTTCTTTCCAACTCACTCCTTTATGTAGAGTATGAGCCAGGATGGCTCAGTCAGTATCGTGACCAGCTATGGGCTGGATGACGAGGGCTCGATCCCCGATAAGGGCCCTCTGTCCTCTGCGTCAAGACCAGTTTTGAAGCCCAGCCAGCCTCCTATTCAGAGGGTAAAGAGTGGCCAGGGCGTGATGCTGACCACTCACCCCCATCTAGTGCTGAGGTCAAGAATGAGAAGTGTAGCGGGACTGATTTACTGATTGTATTTTACGTAGAGTGGTCTCTTGCACGAAATTCACGTTTTGTTGTTAATGTGCGCCACATTTCTTCTAAAACCTGTACTGCAACATAATCTACTTACCATTTTCGAAAAAAAAGTTGGATTAGTTCCCTATGAACCACTGATAAACATGACTAACTAAGGTTTGAAAAAAAGACGGGGAAAATACTCTACATTTCGCAGCTAGCTATTCAACTATTAAACTAATTAATTATGCTGTTTAATACAGTACTAACAGAGATAATACCAACACACAAACTACCACAGGTAATTCCAAAGTACATATCGGTGTTAAATGTTGGCAACGCACGTGTTCTGTGACTAAAGCTTAGCTACCAAATATATCGCCACAGAGAATATAACCACATTGCGGACCGCACGTAAACATAGCACATGTAAAAAGTTGTAGAACAGATGTATTCTTAGCCCAACAGCTTCGCGTTTCAGTTGATGGCATCACAATTTCAGGTTCTTGCTTCCAGAATTCCACCTCCACCTTTTGCACATCCTGCAGAAATTCTGTTTTCCTAATTATCTCAAAAGTCTTGTTCCATTAAATTATTTCGGGAGTATCCTGGAAAGAACCTTTTTGGTGTTGTTGCTATATCGTCTGTAATTCATGTTGTCATACACAGTAATTAGTTTTCAATATAAACAAAAAACACTTTCACCAGATCTCAGACGCAAGACACTTATTTCAGAGTTGTAGCTTTAGTCCATGTAATCCTATCACCAAAATAAACTTGTCTCTCTGCACAATTTTTCCACCATACATAGTTTCTGACTTAGAGTAACAATCTTACTGGGATTTGAACCAAGGAAAGATTTTTGGAGTTACAGCCAATAGGATATCTTTCTCAGAGTTTTGGTCTTTAAAATTTCCTGATTTCAAGACATAAGTATGCCAAGATTGGAGCAAATTAGTTTATCCCTTCTCAAGCTGCTTCAAAATTACATTAATTTTAAAATCATAAAATGACCAGCACTGTCTGTTGTGTTGTGTTTGCTTGCACAGTGCATGCAGTATCTTTTCTTCAAGTGCATTACATATCTGATCTGAAGAGGCAGCAACACTTTGTTTTTCCTTCATCAGCTAAAAATGTAAACATTGCCAGACAGTATATGTAGACGTATTTAATTTTATATAAGACACATTATCTGTACTTTTGCATGATAAAGAATTTTTCTATTTATATGGTGGTTTTATAGTAATTAATGTGCACACAAAAAATAAAAATTAAGCTAATTAACTCTATAAAAACAGTCCCTGAGAAGCAAATACTCACTCTGCTGTTCTGGAAAACCTTGCTTTTATGGAAAGTTATCTTAAAATTTCATTGCTCACTGTTCTGTACTTTTTACACAAATTGTGATTACTTTCCTATGGATATTGATATGCCGACTATAAAAATTAAATTAATAAAACATTATGGATAACTAAATACTTAGACATTGAACTGAGTATTATCAAACACACCCAAACGTACTGTAAAATGTGTTCTTTAATCTTAATATCCTTTCTTTACAATTTTAAATCACAATTAACATATCAGAAATATCCATACATTACATTATCAAAATGTCATGTTAAATAGGCTGAGGAGAGGACATACTTGGGTATAGGAGGAGGAAGTTGGGCATAAAAGGGAATTGAGGACATTTATCATGGAGAAAACAGCAATTGGTCATTCACGTCTTTAAATACAACAATGTTTACACTGAGAGAGAAAAAGATAATTTATCAAGTGAATAACAAAACTGTAGAACCATATGCTTCTTGCAAGCAACATCATTTAACCAGCTGAACTGTTTTCATTATTATTTATTTATATACTTCTATATATACGTGAAAGTTCCATGGAGTGATCAAAAAAGGACACTTGGGTGTGACAAAAAATGGCTTTTTTCACCTTAAAATACTTCACATCTTTGACATTTAAAGAAGAGACTTTTGGAATAAAAGAGAACAACTGCACGTTATAATATCTGAAGGAAAAAAATGTGGCAAAGCACAGTACACAAAAGTACTCAAACATAACATTGACTGTAATGCTTCTCCTCTTAGTCTATATTTTTGTTTTCTTCTATGGTTTGTTACTAGCTGGTAAACTTTTTTTTACATGGTTCACAAAATGGAAAAGAAACATCCATACACATATATATTATGTACATACATGGATTTATGTGTGAAGAGTGAGATGAAAGGGAAGCATTATTTTATAATAAAACAAATAAAAGACAAAGTAACTAAATATCTTTCAATACAACTGTAATACACAACTATTCAAGCCTTGGTAGTCTGAACACAAGATCTGTATGAAATTAAAAAAAAACCAAATGACTTAGGAACCATGTGGCCAAACATGCAATATAATTAAAAACAAATAATATACTGGAATGAGCTGTTTAGCTTATAATGACCACACCTCAAAAGAAGCCACAATTTCATTCAGGGTCATCAATATCTCCAGGTTCCCCATACTAAAACTTTCTTAAACTTCATTTACAAATCAACATACAGACAAATCTATGGTACAGAAGTTTCACAAGGTTGCATGTTAAAAAATTAACCAACATATTTATAACTTATTTACAAGAAATCTTATTACATATTACATTCTTTCCAATGTTACTGTAAACATGCATGCAATATTTATAATTACATATCTTTGATTTGCTTCCATCCACAACACCAACACCCCAAGTTGCATTTACTTTTTTATCTGAGCAAGCAAACCACATAACAGAGTATTTTCAATGAAGAAACAGTTACAGAAACAATTTCATGTTGCTATACCACATACATGCCACAAATGTCAAATCTATAGCTGTGATATTAATTTTCCAACTATGAAAATTTTTATTTCTCCCTTTTTCTTAAAAACAATTTTGTTCTCTACTGTTCATTCTGTCCTTTGATTTGGTTTGAACAACATTTTTGGTATTGCTGTCTATAAAATATATATATATATATATGACTACATAACTCTGAATCTTAGATTCAATAATGAGAATCTACAGTAATGATGATCTTAAACTGGTTAGTCAAAGGATTTTACTTTAATGATCACGTAAAGTTCTCTTCACACCACATACACGATGGCCACACACTAAGAAATATAAGACATTTGAAGCTTTCATGATGACTGAATGCAGGGATGTCCGTCTCCTCAGGTGAATGATCAGCCATTGTGTGAATACAGTTAATATTCAATGTTTCATAATAATGTTTCTGCCTCCACCAATATCCATGTAGTCAAGAAAACCTTGATAATGGAGACAGCAGAAAGTCTCTGAAATATTGGCATATTAACGCCATTCTCACACCTGAGATAACTTCTCTGCACTAAGAAATATGTTATCAGTAACATACACCTTCCTCATATTAACATTCATTTCAAATATCAAATATAAGAACATGTGAGGAAAGGAAAGTTGTCCCCATTGGGGATCGAACCCTGGTTGTCCAGTCCATAGCCAGTCACTATAGTGACTGACCTATGCCAGCTCAAGAACACGTATCATATTGTAACTTAAATAAGATAATGATAATTTATAATGTTCATGTATGACTTCATTATTGAAATTCCCAACATCAGTATTGGAATAAGTAGCACACCGAGTTTAAAACATGACATTTTCAGAGACATACCCATTAAGGAATACTTAAGTTTAATTAATGCAGCAGACTGGCAGAATGCTTCATTAAACTCTGCCACATTAATCCACGCAATACATAACTTCTCCTGGAACTCTGACTTTGCTCACTGGCTAGTCAGTTTTATAGATCAGCTATACTCACTGGCTTTGAATCCATGCAAGGTAAACCCAGTTTCTCAATTAACTGCATCAGGTTTTAGAAAGTTCCTAGAATAGACACTGGTTTCAAAATCATTGCACTATTAAGCACATTATTAACACATGAAGCAAGTCAGAACTTGTCACGTTATATGAATTCTCAAAATAACTAGTAATGGACTGCATAGAAACCTGATATAGAACTTCCATTGTATGATCAAAGAGTCAATATCTGGTGTGCAATTTCCTTCTAGTATATCATAAAATCAATATTTTTATACTACAGTAAAATCAAAACAGTACACCAGTTTAATATATGAACTGATAATTCCATAGCTTTATGATAAATTGATAAAAGGATACTTTAAAGATAAAACCAATGTACTCATACAGCCAGAGTCAAAAACAATCTCAATTATTTGTTTGCAAAAAAATTTATTTCTAAAAAATTCTGGCACCAAGTGTGTATCTTCAGACCTATAAAGCTGCAAATTTTGCCTGTAATATTATTTAAAGATGCTCCAAATGAGAATCACTGGGCAGCTGAAAATTAATATTGCAAACACAATGTTTTAAGCAATCAAGTGAAAAGGGTCCAAATAGTTTAGAAAAACATTTACAACACCTACTACAACAATAAAAATTGTAATGGAAGTTAAAATGTGTTTCATCTTATTTCTGTTATCCTGTATAAAATGGATGAAAAGACTACAGAAAGTAAATGTATGGTTAAAATATTTTAGTGTATTTCATATGTTATCTCAGCTATTTTACACATGGGTGTATATTTCTATTAATCATTGAATAAGGTAATCTTTCTCACATCTACAAAAGAAACAAATATGTGACAGTTTCTCAAAATTATTATGGACATACAATGAAAATTAAGAGACATTCAAATCTCCAAAATCTTACACTAGAATTTCTTAAAAACATCAGGAAAGCTTCAACTTCAGGCAGATGGACTGTTTTTCAATAATGACCAATTCTCTGCAACATATACATATTTAGTTGCACTGCACCTTATGCATTAAAGCATGATTTGGCAATTAATAAACCAAAGTCCTTACAAATTAATGTCATTTTATTGAGGAATTAGTTTTTAAAACAGTTTACCTCACAAAGCAAAACCCTTTTAAAAAGTTAACATTTTGGAGAGGGAACAAGGGAGATGACATTAATGTGTTTAAACATTATTTTAAGAGGGTTGTACTGAAAAGTATAACAAAATCATATTAATATATTATCTTGAGTAGCAACAATAAATCATAAAAGTGAGATGTGTTCAACATAGTAATACTATTCACATATTCCAATACTGCATGTAAAGAATACCAATACTAACTACAAAACTCTCAATTTTCTTACCGGTAACAGTTTAGGCTTAGTTCAAAATAACACACAACTGCCATTTTTGACCAAATTATATTAGGCAAGAGATTCCCCACTTAGAACCAACATGGCAAGGATAGAAATGTGATGTTTAACACCGCTGGAATGTTGCAAAATGGAGTTCAACGTATTCTGAATAAGTCTATGTGTTTCTTATGATATTTCTGCTTCATGAATTACTTTCCACTTTGTAATGACTGGCAAAGTCTTAAAAACCAACAAGTATACAAAACTTAAAACTCTGGATTAAAAAAACGGATTTCTTTAATATTGATTATGCATGAACAAAGATAAATATTGATATTAAAAATGTCCCTACCTGAGCCACAGTTCTTTGTTCTTGCTAAAAGATTCAGCAAACATTGATGACTTAATAACTGAAACATGTGAAGAGAAAATGATCAAGTTTATATCCACCAATACGGTTCAAACACACATCACCCCAGACCACTATTTTAACCTCTTTCAAGCACGATATCCATTACTTTAAAGATTTACTCATTTTTGGTCACAAATCACAAAGAGGTACTGATCTCTATATTTACAAATGACTATAATGACAAACAATGATTGTATCAGTCCTGTCTTATTTGCTGCCATGGCTACTTAACTGAAACTGATTCTCAGAACATGGCCAAAGTAGCTGCCACCTGACGGGGGGAATGATGTATCAACACAAGCGGATGCAGTTGAACCAAACTTTCAGGTGGAGTCTGATGTAATCGTGTGCTCATCTTCCTGTTTCCTGCATCTGCTGGTGGGAATCTAGCAAGGAAGCCTGCACTGCTCCCTTTTCTTCGTTTAACATCTGACAAAATGACAGGCTGTGACAATCTCCGTGGTCCTCTATCCCCATGGTACAGGGATGGTGATGAACAGTCATCTGTGCACTGTTGTCAGACCTTATGATGTCGCATTTCATAGGCATTCCGACCGCCATATGCTCCTGCATATAGTTCTGGGTGATTTGTACGACTGTAACTAGCTGGTGGGGCAGATGCTAAACAGGAAGGCAGTAACATTAATTCTGATGATGTTCTAACCAAGTACCTAACACATTATTAACAGACCAACTTCATAGTACATAAACTTCTTTGAACAGTTATTTTTAATCTTATCACAAACACAGATCTTATTTGAAAAATTTTCACTTTTCAGAAAATTCATCAGCATTTCTTACAATACAATTTTTCCCTCTGACATGATTCAGAAACATGGATGCAGACTTATTTTTGTGCCTATTCCTAGAAAAGCACCTGTATTCATCATTAAGGGAATGTTTGTATGGCACTTATGTTGCGAACAAACAAATTAACAACCAAATGCACAAGCAACTGTATCTTTCATTTATTTCCAACTATTTTTATTCCTCTTAGACTTTCCATTAAAAAAGGCATGGAGATGAAGCATCTTGTTTTGGTCCAATCTGAACTGAAATTCCTCTGAGAGATATTTATCTGTATATATTTTACTACAGATTTCACATAAGTACATTTTGATCAATTGTTAAATATTATGAGTACACTTCTATGCTGTTTCTCGAGTACATTTTCACTGCTTTTGTCACACCTTCTTCCAAAACAGAAGGTGCTACAGTTAGTGATGTAACATTCATGAACAAACGAATCAAAATGGACAATTACTTTGGTGACCAAACGAAACATCCACTGTTCAGAAGATGGACGTCTTCTTGGTTGTAGCACCATGTGGTCTGCCAGAAGCTTACCAACATTTTGGAAGTACTTGCTGACTTTGTCCACTCTGACATGTCACTTATGAAAAGTCCAGTGCTGGTTTTATTATAATTCCCAAGATCAGGTGCTGTAGCTAGTCTAATTAGAGCATAACTATGGAATTTGTATAAATAAACAGAATTTTTCAACTGCATGGTTGGCTCCCCTGATCACTGTCTTCTTGATAACAGTATCGCATGCCTGCCTGTAATATTTACAATAAAAATTATCAAGCTTTTGACAAGTATTGCATTTGCTTCACTCACCTATCCATTTCATTCACCAGTATCTTATTTATTGTCTGTGTCCTCAAGTCAGAGAGTTTCCACCCTCTAAACATTCATCATCAGTCTCATTCACCAGTGTTCAGTCATATGTATTACACATTTATAGCTATTGTTCATGATTTTATAAAAATTGCACACTCAGAATTCAGTTAACATCAAACATGATGCACTATGCACTTTTAAACATTTATCTAACATCTCAAATTTCTGTTGCATATAATCATTAGAAAATATGAAGAATTATTAGATACAAATTATTACATACACGTCTATTATTAATTTTTTAAATCTATACTAGCCGTTAATTTTTAATTTAAAACTCATACAATCTTAATTTGAATAAATTATTTCTGTAGATTCATTCAATTTGTTAAGGTCATCCTCATTCCTGGTTTTTCACACCACAGTTTATTACTTACTCACAGAAAAATTACAGAGGTCAATATTTGTGCATTGCAGTATAGATCCCTCGATCTTTCAGTCACTCCTGTACAGGCGCACAGAGTAATATATACAACAGCCCGCCTATCTCACAACCTACACAGATGTTGTGCCACACCAAGTGTATTTCCACTGTACTTTTCAGTTTTTAGAACTGAGTGTTGCCTCTATATTTTATTATCCTGACAACTTTCAGACAGAAATGCAGACATCATACAGACATGAACACTAATGCTTTCATATTTAATAATATTAATAATACACAATGGGTATCATGGGGTTGGGGAAACCAAGGATGTTGAGTAACATGTTTCAATGGCTCCCTCAACTCTGTTATTCCCATAAGGTCCTAACTTCACATACCACTGTTCTACTGTTCATGAGAGTTTCAAGAACATAATCCCCATGAATGATAAGGGTATGCTGTAATATAGTGTATAACTTTTCTGCACTTATAAAAAAATACAGTAGTCTTAGATTAATTCTAAAGCTTTCTAAAGCCAATATATTAAAATTACTACTGCTGGATATCTGGACCTTGCCCATTGTCCGGTATTCTGAAAAAAGACACTGTGACAGAAACTGGATCTGATCCTGTCACCAGGTCAATGGGTGGGAACCTCCTACTCAGTTTGGTCCATTACAAAGGGTGAACTTAAATCACTGGATCCAGATTCAAAAACTTTTCAAGATAAAACACTGTGCATTCATAGAATCATATACAGTGAAACCTCTATCCATCGTTCCCCGAACTATCATTTTCCCGGATGCATCGTCCGTTTCGTTCGGTCCCGGATACATCCCATATATAATTATGTTACATTTTCCCGCTTCTATCATTCCTCGAACTATCGTTTTATCGCATCAATCGTTCAAAAATCTTAGTCCTGGCCCACGATTTTCCCGCAATGATCGTTTCTGAGAAATTATAACGAAATTTACGCGATGTTTTTAGAATTTAAAATGCTGGGTTTTGAGATAAATTAATACCGAAAGACGCACAATGTTTTTGGAATGCGCAGTAGCGGTAACCTGTTATGTTGCCCAACCAGCACAGATTCTTTTGGAATGAGGGGTCAGCGGTGCAGGGGTGATAGTTGGAGTGAATGGCAGTGCTCATTGTCAGAAATTTTATGAGTTTAATTAGGGTGCACTCATATTTCATTCCAGCGATGCCAGATGGCATGTGCAGTGTGAATTTCTTCACAAATGTTTTTATTATAAGTACAAAGGAAAGGCAGGCGACACTTTTCATTCTTCTGGTTCATCTCGTGTCTTCTACAGCTATGTTTCGTTGAGTTCGGCAGTAATAGGAATTCCATTCTTCCTGTTACTGTTCGCGAAGGGGGCGGGAGTGGTGAGGAAGAGGAAGACGACGAATGCAAGCCCGAAGCTGTGCCGAGTTTTGCCGAAGCACATGCTGCATTGGCAAAAGTGAAGTCATTCTTTTATGCATATAATATTAGTGAACGTGACGAGGAAAACATTTTGAACATGTAAAGGGCTCTGTTTGGCCTAAAATGTTAAGTTTCGACAAACCAGTTGTCCATTAAAGACTTTTTTGGTAAAAAGAAGTAACTTTGAAAGAGAAAAATTCAGTTTTTTTAAAAATTTTAATGCTTTCCCGCAACTATCATTTACCCGTATTCATCGTTTTTATTTCCCACCCCCACCAAAAACAATGCATCGAGATTCACTGTAAAACAGAAAATGACTTAACCAGAATTAGATATAAAGAGGCAGATAAATCTCTGGAACAATACTAAAAGAGAATGTAGAGTGCATATTAACAGCATGTCACCACGCAAAGCAAAGCAAAAAGTATTCTCTACAGTATTATTATGTTACAAGAAACTATAATATGATACGCACAATTTGTCACCATGTAAAAGTAACAGAAAATGTAATTTACCTTTGGGTGCATAATACTGACCCCTTCCTTCACCATAGCCATGTGCTGGACCTCTTGTGGGGCCCTGTCTCCCCACTCCCCCACTAGGATGACCCCCACCACCAACTCCATGTGGTGCACGCTGAAAGAATCAAATATAACACGTGTATTACAAATGGTAATACAAGTACAATTTTATGTTCTTCAATTCACATGCAGAGATTTTTATTACAACTACATGCTTGATATTTCTGTACATTTATAAAGTTGCATTAATACTAGCGGTACTAACATGAGAAAGTTTAGATTGGAACTAGAAATGAAAACATGTGTAAGACCCAGGAGCAAACCACACACACAATGGATAAATAAAATTAAGACACATGTAAAGAGGAAAGGATGGGACTAGAGGACGGTAAATGAAATACAAGAATGGCCAGATACAGACGGGCGGAAACTCCTGTGCTAAAGTCGACTCACAAGTGTGGAAACAACATAAGGAAGATGATTAAACTGGACAAATGTTGTACTTACATATGTACCCAGTGAAAAAACAACATTTTGTGTAGCTATACAAATACTCATGTAAATGAAAGTGGATTAAGTGAAGGGAAGATCCTATTGTCACCACCTGACATTTTGTTTAGTCTTTTCAAGAAATTTAATGCTGCAGACACTGTAAACTTAATAAAACAAATTTATAGTTTTAGTTCATATACAGTGAAACCTCTATCCATCGTTCCCGGAACTATCGTTTTCCCGGATGCATCGTCCGTTTTGTTCGGTCCCGAATACATCCCATATAAAATAATGTTACATTTTCCCGCTTCTATCGTTCCTCGAACTATCGTTTTATCGCATCGATCCTTAAAAAATCTTAGTCCCAGCACACAATTTTCCCGCAATGATCGTTTCTGAGAAATTGTAACGAAATTTACGTGATATTTTTAGAATTTAATTCCGAAAGACGCACAATGTTTTTGGAATAAACAGTAGCGGTAACCTGTTATGTCGCCCAACCAGCACATTCTTTTGGAATGAGGGTCAGCGGTGCAGGGGTGATATTGGAGTGAATGGCGGTGCTCATTGTCAGAAATTTTACGATTTTAATTAGGGTGCACTCATATTTCGTTCCAGCGATGCCAGATGGCATGTGCAGTGTGAATTTCTTCACAAATGCTTTTATTACAAGGACAAAGGAAAGGCGAAAGTGCTGCTGTGGATGTGGAAATAACGGAGCTGTGGCTCGAGAGACTGCCAACACTGCTGGAGGGATATGAGCCGCGGGACATTTATAATGCGGATGAGACCGGACTTTTCTACAACGCCCTCCCGGATAGGACTCTGGCATTGAAAGGTGAATCTTGCCACGGGGGAATACGTGCAAAACACCGAATTACTGTTCTTCTGTGTGTTAACAGTGACGGTAGTGACAAACGGGTTCCGATTGTAGTTGGAAAATCACGAAAACCGCGTTGTTTCAAAAACATGAAAAAACTTCCGGTGAAATATCACGCCAACAAAAAGGCTTGGATGACAACAGACATCTTTACGGCGTTTTTAAGTTCTCTGGATGCCTCCATGGGCGCACAAGGCAGAAAGATTTTGCTGTTTGTTGATAATTGTGCCGCTCATCCGAAGGACACGACATTTCTACGAAATGTGAAAGTCGTGCAGTATCCAGCAAATTGCACGAGCGTCTTGCAACCGCTTGATTTGGGCATCATAAAATCTTTCAAGCAGTTGTATAGAAAGCGCCTTATGCAAACAGCTGTATGTGCATTGGATGCTGGGAAGGATGTCAACATGAAAATTGACGTGCTACAAGCAATTCATTTCACAGTGGCAGCTTGGCGGCATGTCTCCCAACCAACTGTTCTGAATTGTTTTCACAAAGGTGGCTACGGGTGTGAACTTCGCACAGAAGCAGACTCTAACGTCAGTGTGGATGAGCATGATGGCTTTCACGAAGACTGGAATAGATTTGGCGCCGTGAAAGACGTGGTTAAATTTGGTGACTACGCGGCAGTGGACAGCGAGCTTGCTAAATACATGCGGAGTCGACACGATTGATAAGTTGTGTGACGATCGCGAAGGGGGTGGGAGCGGTGAGGAAGACGACGAATGCGAGCCCGAAGCTGTGCCGAGTTTTGCCGAAGCACACGCTGCATTGGCAAAAGTGAAGTCGTTCTTTTATGCCCATAATATTAGCGAACGTGACGAGGAAAACATTTTGAACGTGGAAAGTACTCTGTTTGGTCTAAAACGTAAAGTTTCGACAAACCAGTTGTCCATTAAAGACTTTTTTGGTAAAAAGAAGTAACTTTGAAAGAGAAACATTGTTTTTTTTAAAATTTTTAATGCTTTCCCGCATCTATCGTTTTCCCGCATCTATCGTTTTTATTCCCCCCCCCCGCCGAAAACGATGCATCGAGGTTTCACTGTAACGTATTTCAAAATACCTGAACATGACTAATTATCCATGCTATGAAGACAAAAAGTAATTAATAATTTAACGTATCATTTAACAAGTGACAATGAATATGTGTCGCTGACTTGAATGTGTGGTTAGTGCTCCTATTTCACATTTGGGAGGTCATGGGTTCACATCTTAGCTCAGAGACTGGGCATCTTAGTATAAAACGAGAAAATCTACATATGTGGCAGTATCTTATTTAAAAAAAGCAACTTCACAGCTTCCAAACAGTGCCATACGATCTTCTT